GAAGTTTTCAAGCAATTTCTTTCATCTTCCACACACATTTCATATGGAAAGAAACAATATGCCCTTAAACCTTGATCTTTAAAAATTCAAATTGCTGGGCACTTACTGCTGACTTCAATTAATTTTGAACACTTAAGTCACTCTGCACAGCTTTGAAACTCCAGGAATAGGGGAAGAGTTAGGGCTGACATAACTGAATTGTTATATTATGGGCAACCACACAGAAATAAATAGTCACTAGTCCCTCACTGCATGACTTAGATGAAGAAGGAATATGAAAGCTCTTCCTGTAGATTCTAGAGAGGTAAAATGGATGCATCATATATAATAGCTTTTGGAGTTACTTCACTGTAAGGAGGCTGTTTTGTCCTCCTCACAGTGAATTGAATAGAGTACGATAACTGTAAAGGAGAAAGAATGAAAAAAAAAAGTGGAGTGAAACTTGGACCACATAAGTACATAAGTTGGGCCTAAACCAGTAGTGCCTAACTTTTTCCTCCCACAGGCTGGATGGGCAGCACCCTGTCCATCTACAGGCTAATTTTTACTGGTGGTCCCGATCCAGCACCATGGCCAGCATGGTAGGCACCATGTGGGCTCATGGAGGGGAGCAAGGGGCAGCCCAACCAAAACCCAGCCTTTCAGGAAAAACGGGGTGTGGCCCAGCCCCACAGAGAGAAAGTGGGCATGCCTGGCCCCAGCCCAGCACTGTGGGACTGGTGGGCATGGTCTGGCTCCACTTGAAACTGGCTCTGTGGGGAAGGGGGCGTGGCCCAGCCCCACAGGCAGGGAGAGGTGGCATGGTCTGGCCCAATCCAGATTCAGGGAAGGGGGCATGGCCTAGCTGTAGTGCTTGAAGTTTGGGAATTTGGTAGGGGGAGGGTGACCATATTAATGGCCACCACTTCCCCACCACCAGATTTCCAACTGCATGGGGAGCCCCACTGGCCAAATGCAATGGCTCCAAGGGTCGCATTTGAGCCTTTAGGCTCTTGCAGAAATTAAAAACTTTATTTAACCAACTTTGGAAGAGCACTGGGAAGAAACTGCGTCTCAGCCTCTATTCTTCCTCTGTTCCTTCCTGTTCTAGAGGTGGGAGAAAAATGTATTCACTGCAGCCACTTAAAGGGAACTGCTTACTTCTTCCTTTGCATCCAACCAGCTTTACTGTGAAATCCTGCTGGTGTAAGTGAACCAGGGCTCTTGACTGTGCAGCTCTCCCTCCTCTACCCATATACTTGCAGGTTGAGCAATGACAGTCCTGGGCTTGAATTCTGTATAATTCTAGAACTGGGATGTGAGTAGCCCTAATACAACTGCTTGGAAGGAGGAGAGCTTTACTCCCCTAAACAGTCTGGTTGGAGCTAGTAAAAAATCAGCATTTCAGCATTAGTCACATCCTTCAGGAAGTACTGGTCTTTTTTGAGATATCCTCTTACTGGTGCGGTTGGGAGATGGGGGTTGATACAAGGAAAAGTTCAGATTTAAATGCTATTTTCAGAAAAAAAAATAATAGAAAGGAGGTGAGAAAAATGAAAATGAAGAAGGATGGACTGTGGGAAGGGGTGGCGGGGATGGAGGGAATAGGAAAAAGGACAAAGGGAGTGGAATAAAGCAGTCTGCATTCTGAAAAAAATTCACCAGAGCAGTATTTCATTATCTTGCGTCTTATGTCAGCCTCTGTATAATGGCACAGTCATGGTAGTGCCCTTCAGTGTCATTGACGCGCTGCAGCATCCACAGAAATAATAGTGAACTTGGCTGTTTTACATGAGAAAGGAACAGTAAAAATGTGAGACAACTAGGTTTGCATTGTGTAAGACCTATATTATTCAGGAAGTGAAGGAAGGGAGATGGCAACAGAAGCTTCATGATTTCTAATTCATGCCTTGTGAATTATATCTCCCTGGGAATTTTATCTTCAGCAGAAGCAGCTTCAACATGGTGGCAAGAGGAGAAAAAAGGAGTATTCTTGCCTTAAATATTTTAAAATTGATAGATCTGTTTTATTTAATGGGGTGCTGAGACTCATTCTTAAAAATTGTCCTAGGATTATTTTCTTTTACAAATATTCCACAAATATTACAGCAAAGTTTTTTCATACAGATTTGTAGTATTATATTCCCTGTTTATTTGCTTACAACTTTCTCAAGCGACCTTATAGGCTTGATTCAAAGTTGAGTTTGAAAGAAAATTTGAACTAAATCTGTTTAATTGTTACTGAGATACTTGGGGTAGAGCAGTTATATAGGTAGAGCAGTCATTAATGTTGAAACCTTACACATTTTTTGCTGAGTATCATCTGAACTGCTGCACACATACACTCTGTTAGCAATTCTAACCTGGGCCACTTCATTGTTAAGATAGCTATCAACAGGAAGGAGAGCAAGGTCATAGGCATTAGGCTGGCTTATTGTACTACAAGGATAGTTTGAGATATCTTGATAAGAAGGTTTTAAATTAAAATGGCATTTATTGAGCCCATCTTTGCAATAAAAGGTCTGTTATTGACTGTTGCCTATACATTATTCACCTTCCACATACATCTTGAGTGATTAAGGCAAATGAAATGCATAATGCTGAGGCAGTTCGTTGGTAGCCCTGGCAGAAGTCACAGTTTCTAGTCTCTGAATTTACAAGCACATATATTGTTATATACCTTTTTATCACGTTGTTCCAGAATCTATAGATTAAAAGGCTGGGAAAGTGCACTGTGTTCAGCTAATCTAGTCACCTGTACAATATATGCCATAAGCTTTGCCTGTATTCATTTTGTCTACAGCATATCATTTAAAAAATAGCCAATTTTGATTTAAATATTTCTAGTGGTGGAGAATTCATTGGAACCCTTGCTAAACTGATGCAATGGTTGACTACTCTGACTTAGAATTTGTGCCATATTTCTAGCCTGAATTTATCTTTATTCACAAGTTCAGATGTTGAATTCTGTGACACCATTCTCTACCAGATTTGATATAGGATAGATTTGATTCCTGTGGAGGCACCTAAAATTATCTCCAGTGGGCTAAACATTTTGGACTCATTGCATCTTTCACTATCAAATACATTTTCTAATATTTTAATTACTCTTCTGGCTCTTTTCTGAATTTTCTCCAATTTATCAACAGCCTTTATAAATTCACAGCTCTTCAGTTGGTGCCTTTTTCATCAGCTTCATTGGTTTTTGTGTTAATCCAGCTCCTAGTTTGTCGTTTCAGTTTCTAACTGGGTCTTTATTTAGTTTATACCTAGATTAAAGTGCTTTTAATGGACAGAAAATGGAAAATGCTTTCTCCCTTTCCTACATATTTGCCTTTCATTTGCTTTTAAGGTTTTCAGTTTGCATAATCTAATATAGATGTATTATGCATTGACTCAGAGATGCTGACCATCTTGATGATGTCACATCCACACAGGACCCTAAGACAGAGATCTCAAAATGTCACCCAGAAACATACCTAGATGATCCAAGTTGTCTGATCAGAAGTTGCATGATGAAATTACTGCCAACAGTAGCATAATGGGGTGGGCAAGAGGGGCATTTGCCCCAGGCACCTGGTTAAGCGGGGTGCCCGAATTGTCTCCCAATTCTTGTAGACTTTGCACCCTGACAGCAAAAGCAGCCCCATGGTTTACTCAAGCTGGGAACTCCAAAACAGCTGCTGCTGTTGTTACCACCAATAGCCAGAGTGGACAAAGCATGTGGCAGTGGCAGCAGCAGCAGCTTACATGGGGACTGTTTAGGAGTTCCTGGCATGGATAAGACTGCTGCACTGATAATTCTCTAACCTTTGTTCCAAATTCCACAGCCATATTCACTTTGTAGAGTCAAACTGCACTCTCTAAATGTAAACATATATTTATAAAGCTAATGTATCCTAAATAGGCTTTGCCAAATACTTTTATCTTATTCCTAAGTGACACTGAACAATTCATCATATTAAACCATAAATTCATATGATTTTCTTTGTAATGCATTTTTAAATATTTACTGGCTTTAAAAAAGAGACCTGTCTACTCAAGCAAGGAAGTCCTAGATCAGTTTGAAGTCAGATTCACAGGGGATGGGTCATGTTTCAAATCTATGCACTTGCATTTGCTAGTTTGGAAGAGAATGCTTTTCATTTAAATGGATTGGTCAGAATTTAAGATCTACCTGAAGTACAACAGTTGGCCTTGTATTCATGTTTCAACTACCCCACTATATAGATATGTATGAGCTGTGAAATCTGGATGTTTGCTTTCCTCCTTGATTCCACTTTCAAGGTTAAATAAAAGCTATATAAAGCACATTAAATGCTTTTCCAATAGCATGACTTCATGTGAATTATCACTATAGTAACAATCATTTGGCAGGTATTCTGCACAGTTATTAACATAAAAGGAAGTGTTCATGAGACCACCTCTATTAAAACATAGTTCATGCTATTGAAAAGCTTGTGAACCTCTGGGTTAGTAGACTTGAGGCTGCTTTGAATATATTAAAGCAAAAGTATTTTGAATGCACTAAAATGTAAGTCTTCAACGCTTGTGCCTGCCTTGAGAGAAACATTTGGTGGTCACTTAACCAGTTTTCTGCGCATTGTGGGTGCTAATTATTTTTCTGAAGGAAGCTACTGGCTTTTATTCATTTGTGCTTGCTATAGTTTAGAACAGCGGTGGCCCAACCTTTTGGCCCCTCAGGCCAGATGTGTGATGTGGGATTGGTTCATGGGCTGGATCTGGTCCATAGGCGCAACTGAGAGCGCGCATAGGGCCAGGGCCTCCTGCCCCAGCCCTAGCCCTGTGTGCATTAGCTTGGGACCACCGCCTAAGTCTCATACGCACTGGATCAGGCCTGGTGGCCCTTCATGTGCCAGTTCAGGCCTGTAGCTGTGGCCCTGCCCCCAACCATCAAATTTTACAGACTTTGGGATGTCCCACAGGCTGGATAATAAAATGTATTACAAAGAAACACAACAGGCATATGAAATTGTTCATATGATTTTCTTACACAACAGGCACGTGCTTGCTCGTCTGGACACGCCCTTAGAGCAGGCTGGATCTGGCCTGAAGATCAGAGATTGAGCACCACTGGTTTGCCAATTCTTATAATTATTATTGTAATTATCAAAATATTTGGTGTGTTTTCCAGAATCCCCAGCACCTTCCGTTATGAAATTAGGTAAGAGGGTTACATACAATGTAAGTTTCTAGCCGTTATGTTGCAAATAAAAGTTTGAATATGTGATTCACATGTAATTGGAATATGGGGTGGGGGTGTATTCAAGAGGGCATCTAATCCATCTTCTCACTCTGAGGCAACAGAAACAATATTGAGATAACTCCTGGCAAATTTTTGTCTGTGCTATTCAGAGCCATTTCTAGGGGTGTGCGGGGCCTGGGGCATATCAGCCTGTGTGGGGCCCACTGGGGGGGAGGGGTGGCGAGGGGCCAGGGGAGTGGCTGGAGCCAACAGTGTGGGGAGGGCGAGTGGCCAGAGCTGGCAGAGCATGGCAGTGACAGCACGTGGCAGCTGCAGTGGGGCCTATACGGGACTGTCTGTAGGGCCCCCAAAGTGCAGGGCCCAGGATGGTCACCCTGATTCGCCCCCTCCCTACCCCCCAGGATGACTGTGGTGATGTTCTTAAAATCTTCCTTCCTCCCCAGCTAATCTATTCCAGAACTTTAACTATCCTTAAAAAACATTTTCCCCCTACTATTTAACGTAAACTTTCTTTGCTGCAAATTAAGATTCCTTCTTGTCCTTCCCCATATGACACAAAGAACAATCAATTGCTGTTGTTTTAAAAACAACTTTTTACATATTTGAAGACTATTATCACATTCTTTCCTCACTCTTCTCTCTCCTGGAGCATAGAAAGTTCAGGTCTTTCAAGCATTCTTCAGAAATGATTTTTTTTAACATTATTTTAGTTGTTCTTTTATGGATTCTCTACAATTTGAGTAAATCTTTCTTAAAGTATGGTGCTCAAAACTGGCCATAATATTCCAGCTGAGGCCTCATTAATGTGGAGTAGAGTGGAATTACGGTGGGTTGTTTTTTCTGTTGTTTTTTTTTTTGGTGGGCGGGTGTAACAGCATGGCATTGTTGACTTGTATTCAGTTTGTATTTCCTTTAAACCCCTCAATCCTTTTTTGCCACATCATTGCTTAACTGGCTCATCTCCAGTTTGTATCTATATGTTTATTTTCTCCTTTGTAAGTAGTTTGCACTCATCTTTATTGAATTTCACTTCAGTGATCTCAGAATATTTTTCCAATTTATCAAGATCATTTTGACTTCTCATGTTTTCTTTTGGAGTGCTTCCAACCCTTCCCCCCAGCTTGGTGTCAATTGAAAATGTTGTTAGTATAATCTCTTTTCCATCATTCAAGCTGCTAATGCAAATAAGTAAACAGTTTCTGATACAACTATACCAGTTTCTTCCTATCCTTACTCAACATTAGGAGAGTTTGCCATCATGGCTCTGATACTGTCTCTTAGAAACCTCAAAATTTCCTTGACTCCTTTTTCTCTCAGAATTCCTTCTATTGAACCTTACCTACCAAGTCCCTCAGTTGGTTGAGGTTGATTTTTTTTTAATGTTCTCTAAGGGCGTGTCCAGACGAGCAAGCACGTGCCTGTTGTGGCATCTCAAAGCAGTTTGAGACACTGCAAGAGGCATGCTGGGAATGAAAAAAGTGTTCCTCATGCTCCATATTTGCAGCGCAGACTCTTTGGTACTGGGAAATTCTGGTATAAAAAAAACCCTAATGAAAAAAAATTGACACAGGGCATGCTCCTGGAGCATGCCCAGAGGCAACCAGAGGCTGAGTCCTCCAGAGAGACACTCTGGCATCTGTCTACAGCATCTCACTGCCTCAGTGTGCTGGGGAAAATAGGAGTGGGGCAAGGCTGCAGTGGTGACCCAGACCCAGGTGCTGTCCCAGGTACGCAGGAGTGTAGGGGTGGAAGGACTGTGGGTGGAGGGAAGACTGTGGGTGTGGGGCATGTGTGGAGGTGGAGGGACTGCAAGTGGTGGGGGGACTGCTTGGGAGGGCAGCCCCCCCACCCCCCCGGTACAGCTCACAGCAGCAGCAGTGGCTGTTTGGGAGGGGTGGGTCCCCTGCCCCCCCCCCCCCCCCCAGCAGCAGCAGCAACAGCAGCAGCAGTCCTGATGCTCATAGTCCACCACTAACTGGCAGAGTTCCCTGGCAGCACAGCATGGCCCTGGCTGCCTGGGACCTGGCGCAGCCTGAGCCATATGGCACCACACCGGCCCAGCCCATTAGCACGAGCCCTTGAGCAAGACCAGGTCAGCTCCTGCTGTCACCCGAGGTCCCAGAACTGCACACAGGGGCCACACACCTTTGGGTCAGGCCGGGTCCTATCTCCATGGAGTTGGCCCAGCCTGGGGCTGTGTGGGGCACTTGGATGAAGGACCTGACTGGGCCCAAGGGTGCACATCTACTAAGTGCAGTACAATGCTGTGACTCTGGGTAACAGCAAAAGTGGCCCATTCCTGCCTGAGGTCGGATACCAGCAGGTTGGCCCAGGCTGATGCCATGTGGCACAGGTGGCACTGGGTCCCAGGCAGCTGAGGCCATGCTGCCAGGGGGCCCTGCCAATCACTAGTGGCTATGAGCACTGGGATAGTTGCTGCTGCGGGGAGGAGGGGCTGTGCACCAGGTGGGGGGTGGGCAGGGGACCCACTCCTCCCAAGCAAACCCTCCCACCGACAGTCCCCCCCACCCACATACCCAGGCACAAGCCCCATACCCCCCCCATAAACCTCACTCCCACAAACCCTACACCGACCCCCAGTGGTGTACTGATAGGGGTGGTGGGGGCCATGCCCCCAGGTGCCAGCTTGGGAGGGGTGCCGGCTGGGCCCTCCAGCGGGTACATGGTCCCCCAGCGGCACTCTCAGTTCTGCTTCTGGTGTTTCCGGGCTTGGCAATCAGCCACCAGGGGACCCCCCCCCGCTCAATGATTGGCCACTGGGGGACCACCCCCACTCAGTGATCAGCCACAGATGGGGGGGGGGCACAAATGCAAGTATTGGCCCCCAGGCACCAGAGATGCACAATACGCAACTGCCCGCCCCTACACCCACCCACAAACTCCACACCCCTTCCAGACTGCTGCAGTGAGTAGAGGGTGCAGGGGCCACTCTAGGTTAGAGCTACTTCAGCAGTCCAGCTGACATAAGGGGCTTGTGTCTCCAGATACCAACTGGCCAGGCCTCAGAAGCTCCTGATGGCAAGTAGTCCTGAGCTGCTCGCCAGGGCAGCTTTTTATACTGCTGGGGCCAGAACAGGTGCTGGCCCTATCCTCTAGCTCCCCCTGGCTGAAGATCCAGGAGGAGCTGGGTAGGGTCAGTTTGCCCCAAGTGACATAATTTGCCTCACACCAAAGTGCAAGTTCAGGCACGTGTGCTGAGGCACAAATCTCCAGCACAAATTTGTGCTGCTGCTATTTGAGCTGCTGCAAGCACACATGCCTGCTTCTGTGGATGTGCTTTAAGGCCACATCCAAACAAGTGTGGATGTTTGTTTCCCTGGGGACTAGTAGCAGCAGCGCACCTTGCACTGCAGCTACTTGTTCCTCGGGAACACCCATGCCATGCACGCTTTGGCGCACAGCAAAGTTACCCTGGGTGTGGTAGGGGAGGCCCTACCTAGGGCCCTGGGTGGAGCGTGGCCAGCAGCCACAGCACGGCTTCAGGTGGCCTGGCTCTGCTTTTCAGCAATGCATGCACAGGCAGTATGACCTTGCAGTGCGTGGAACACCCAGCTGCAGCATAAAAGAAAGAACCCAAAATTAATTGTCTTAAAAAGGGCAATAGTTTAAAAACTGTTTTATAATGATTGGGACTGGGATTTTTGAATGATCAGAATTGGCAGTACTGTTTAGACTATTATGTAATTTGAGGGTTTTGATGTGGCACTTCTCTAGAAAACGTAATTTCATCAACATTTTTGTTTTGCTTCTACAGAAGTAAGCTGCTAGTAGTAAAAGGTATCTTGTTTACATGCCATTGAGCCCCCTTAGGACAGCGGAGGCAGGGCTCCACTGTCTTTTTAACCTCAGCACAAGGATGTGATGTGATCAGCACCAAGCTCTGGCTGCCTTATCCCAGCTGGCTCCTGGTACCCATTGGGTAGGAGGCTGGGTGGACTTCAGGGCTTCACTGAAAGTCAAAACAATGAGTGGAAACCCACCAGTCTCATGGGGATCCATCCCAAGTCTTTTTAGTCCATAGCCAGTTGCCCTACCACTAGGGCTACACAACCCCCAAGCTGTTAGTAAAGACAGAACAAACTACTGAATAAGCTTCATTTCCAGAGACCTCCTAAAATATGTTATGGTCTAATACTGTTAAGGATATGCATCGTTATTTTCATCATTGCATCAATTCGAAAAACCATTCTGAGGCAGATAAATAATTTTCCCTTTTGTAAAACTGGAAAAATATGGCAGAGAAGTTAAATGACCTGCCAACAGTCATGGAGGGAGTGTATGTATCTACCGGGAGACAAATTGTGCTTCATCATAATGTCCTGTAAATAGTAACTGGATCAATATTAATGGAAGGAAAAACTATAGGGTAAAGTACAGATGCCATAAAAATACTGTTAGCAGTGAAAGGTATAAGCAATAAATTTATGAAACAGTAATTACTGCACTGTATTGAGTGTTTTAGCAGTATTTTTGCAGTCTACAAATAGCTGGAAAATTCTGCAAAGGGACAGAAACACTCCCAGGAATACCTGGCATGGAGGAGGTGTACACATGTTAAACTGATATAAGAAGGCTTAGTAGTCTTTTTTCCTTAGAGTACACCGATATTTTGACCAGAATTACAAGAGATTCTCCTCCCACCCCACCAGTTAATGACTTTGTTTGGCATAAACTATATTTCTCAGATTTTCCCTGCATTCTTACTAACCTTTCTATGTTTCCTCTATTCAATTATAAATTGGTGCCAGATTATTTTCTGTCAGCTGTCTGATCTAGAAATATTCACATGGCAGAAAAGTCGGGTTTAAAAGGGAATGGTTTTAGCTCCATAAGGAGGTGGTATCTCTGAAAACAGCTTTGTACATTTCTGATCAGTAATGTTTGTATATTAAACTAAAAAGGTTTCTTCTTAATAGATCTGTACCAGAGCTGGCCTTAGCAGGGGGCAATATGGGCAACCACCCAGTACACCGTGGTCAGGGGGGCACCACACACACACGCACGCACACATATAGGTGCTGTGAACAGTAGAGGTACCAGTGCTGGCCTGTGGCACTGCTTGGGGCCCTGTGTGGGGCTGGGGTGGGGTGGGGATGGAGCCTTGGCTGGCTGGGATGGGGCAGGCTGCCCAGGGTGCCAGTTGCAGTGGCACCTGTTCCCACCAGGGTGGGGCAGGATGATAATGCAGGGATCCCTGGCCTGGAGCTGGCAGCCTGTGGGAGGGGAGCAGGGGAGGGCTCTGGCCGAATTTTGCCTGCATGCAGCCTGTTATGTGTTGGCCCCTAGAGGAGCCCCGTGATAACCTCAGGGCACCAGACTTCCCATGTCAGCACTCATCCCAGACTTCCCATGGCTGCTCATCACTGGCTCCTGCTTCCTCTGCTTCAGCTCCACAAGGCTGTATTCAGTGGTCTCTGCCACAGGCAGACACCCTACCCAGCTCCCTGGCCTGTCAAACAGAGCCCCTCTGCAGCAGAGCAGCAGCACCAGTGACTCGGGTGGGGGAGGTGCTAGAGGGTCGCTAAAATACAAGTTTATCCTGGGCACTATTTTCTATAAGGCCTCTCTGATCTGCTCTGCATAGTTAAGTACAGACTGTCAAAAAGCCTGAGGCTGAATTTGATTCAATCTTCGCAGGTAAGTTTAAATTGCATAGGTTGAACTGATAAGCAGATGAGCAGAACTTCACTTCTGATTTTGGAAATGCAGTCATATGCCTATAGTGGCTCAGGGGGTGCTAGAGCATGACTCCCTGCTCAGATGGAGAAGACAGCTTGGGCCAAGCCTTGCTTGCCCACCCTGTGCAGGGGGTGGTTTGCAGGAAGGTGCAGAGCATCTTGGGATGCTGGGTGACTGAGTTAATTTGAATATGGAGGGGGTATGGGACAGAAGTTTAATAAACTGATTCAACCCAGGGGTTCCCAACCTTTTTATTCTACGGACCAGCAAACCATGGACCGGAAGCGACTGCAGACAGGCAAACCACAGAAGAGCAAACTGTGGACCAGTAGTGACTGGCATACTGCGGGCAGGCAGTGAACCCTTTTTATACTCAGTATAAAAAAGGGTTGGCTGCTGGTCCTCAGTACGCTGGTCACTTCCAGACTTGCAGTCTAGCAGCCAACCCTCCTGCGGACCAGCAGCCAACCCTTCGTGGCCCGGCACCAGGCTGCGGCCTGGGAGTTGGGAACCCCTGATTTAACCTAAATCAGTGAAGTCTGATACTACATCCATGAAGGCTTATCTTAAACCTGTTTCAGCCATTTTGAAAACAGTTTACGTGCACTGAACTTCTATTGTGTTACAGATTTGAACCGATTTCTGATCACTTATACCGTTCTATGTGTAATTTCTGTCCCCAGCCAAAGTGTAGTCTGAGTCATATCTGTTTTGAAGATTACAAGCCAGCTGGGCCATTTCTCTCAACTACAGGAGGATGACTGGCTTCATCAAAGCCTGCTGGCTCTGCTCACGCAGAGTTTAGGAAATCTGCAGAGCTGCACAAGAGATTGTCTTGCAAGCCTCCCCGGCACTTGTTTTGCAGTATGTAACTGCTCAGCAGGATGTTACAGTGCTGCAGCTGTCCTTTGTTTCACAGAGCTGGTGTTTTGTAGAATGTATGACCTCTGCGTGTCCAGATCTTCAGGCAAACATCTGACATACAGATAAATAAATAAGGTAAAGGAAATGTGAATATTCTTGTTATGACTGGATTGTAAGGCCTGGAAACAGCCTTTTTATGCTTGTATACTGCACAGCACTGAGCACAATGTCAACTCATGACAGATAAATAGTAATACTAACTAACAATACATTATCTACTATGCAGAGATGTTTCAAGAATCTCAGTTAACAAGCGTTTGAAATGCTTCGAGATCCAGGATATAATGTTCTGCTCAGAAAGCACTGACAATTGTTACTTCTACTTATGAAGCGGGGGCATTATTTTGCTTTTTCATGTTATGTTTTAAGAAAAGTAGGTTCTGGAAACCTATTCCTATGTGATTAAAAAGTTATCCAAGGGCCTTGAGATCCAAATGGCTTGGGAAAATACTAATGTGCCTTTGAATCTTCCACCATCATTTTAAATTCAACCAAGGGCAACAGTGACAGAGATTTCTCACAGTTATATAGACTAGCGGTGCAGTAGCATACGTTAAATTAGGTGCATGTATCAATCCAACTCCACAAAGAACATTTTCATCTCACAAAAACTATCATAACTGGTACTTTTAAAACCCTCTTGCTAGCATTATTACACAGGTTTAAAATATATTTTTTCCAAGTAAGAGCCAGGTTATTGCAGTCTCAGCAGAGAGTAAGAAGACTGACAAGGCCAGTGGTTCCCAACCTTCTTAGACTCAAGGTACCCTTCATTAGAATCAAGGCACCCCTTGGAAACTGCCATCTCATAGTTTTCACTAATTTTTTGACCATAATAGAACTGTTCTTCTGTTGCAAACAACATGAACAACATGTGCCCCCAGTGGCTGGGGGGGAGGGGAGGGGCGCAGTGGCAGCGGAAATGTGGCAGCAGTAAGCAGTGAGCTTCCACAGATGCCGCCGGCAGTGTTGGCTGCGGTGTGAGGGGATGGCGACTGCCGACCAGGGGTCAGCAACCACCCACAGATACTGCCAACAGCCTTTCCGCCCACAGATGGCACCGGTGGTGTCGGCTGCAGGGTGGCAAGCAGTGACCGCCCACAGGTGTCACCCACAGTG